ACACACACACACACACACACACACACACACACACACACACCACACATATTTTCTTTTAATTTTTAAAAATAAGATACATATGAAATAAAGGCTGAGACTAGTGTCCTGAGAAATTTCAGAACTTAAAGGCTGATGAAAACAGGTTGTTCCTGTGGTAGAGATGAAGAATGCCAGTCCGGTTGAAGGAAGAACTCCCGGTGTACATGGCAACAGAGACACAGAACAGTGTAGTTCACAAGAGAGAAGTGCTGGCTGGCTGTGGAAGCTAAAAGAATTTAGCTTGTTTAGCAGATTTGCCGGAAAGAGGATTGCCTAAAGTCCCTTCAGTGCAGGTGGGAGTAAAAGGAGACCAGGGCTTACATGAGAATCTTGCTCAAAGCAGGGGTGGTGACCTACAGGGACACACAATCTAACTGAGAACAGGAAAGGTGAGAGCAGAAGTGGTGGGTAGAGGCTGGAGTGGGACCAAGGTGGAGTTTGTGTTTTCACAAGCTAAGCCTTTATAGCTCTAAATGCTAGTTGGTATTAAAACACCACCAGGAAAAAGATAAGGATCTAGAAAGGGGAAAGATGGCCATGGGATGTCCCTTTGATTTACAGCAACTCGGATTCTTGGTAAGAAAATGGGAATTATTTATTCAGCTCAAAAATAGCACACTACTTCAGCCGAATGCTACAATGATGACATATGAGCCCAACAAAGGAAATTTTCAGATTATAAAACAGTTTCTGACTGAATTTCTGAGCCAACTGACCTGTCAGACCTGTTCTACCCTGTATTCACTTTCTGTGAGTATGAATTAGAAGTTCAGTTTCTCATCCCAGTAGCTTCAGTTCAAACTTGCAATAGTTGTGTGCAGGCTAGCAGCTACTGTAAAACAGGATCCTCACAGAAGGTTCTATTGCACACTGCTACCTAAGTAAACTCCATAAAGAAAGACATGAGGAATCAGAATTTTAATTTCTTCTCTAGATCTACCTAGCATTTATTATTCATTGTGTGTTCCAGTTAATGTTAAGGTTTGTTTTTATATGTGTGTGTGTGTGTGTGTGTGTGTGTGTGTGTGTATACATTTTCTATATAAAAGATGATGTAATTCCCACAGCAACGCTGTGTTAATAGGCTTATACTGTGTGTGTTTTGCAGATTTTAATCAAGTCAACATTCCCCATAGCTCCAACTTATAACTCAACTGTGGTTAAAACTGAATCTTCATTGTTAAAATTTGCTTTTGCTGCTGGAGTACAGCAGTTGGTCTCAAAGGCCTCAAGTTACATCCTCTGTCATGGGGCTGGTAGAGGTCCACACAGAGGGGAGGGCTCTGCATTTTCTCACTGCTTTTACTGTGCAGACATGGTGCAGAGGAGAGGTGCCTGCACTGGGCTTCTGTGGGAAAAGTCTATCACAGATATGGCTCCATTAATTCAATTAAATTGTGAAAGTCTATAAAATTTTATTCTGTCCTTTTATTCTATTCATAAAGTACTTCTAAGTTTCTTCCTTTCATTTTAGAACAACATAGCACATAGGAGGCTTGTAACATACCATTCTTTTCTGACCTTCCTTAAATCTATGAATCTTTGAGGTTAAATATCGTTGAGTGTAAACAACACATCTGTGTGAGTGTGTGTGTATGTGTGTTTTTTGTGTGTGTGTATGTGTGTGTGTGTGTGTGTGTGAGAGAGAGAGAGAGACAGACAGACAGACAGACAGACAGACAGACAGA